CATGGCCCCGATCCTCAAGCCCAACTCAACCCTTGGCTTCCTGGGTCAAGTGGATTTCTCACTGCCTCCAGCCTCCTGAGTAGCTGGATTATAGTGCTCTGCACCACACCCCAGCTTAATCGTTTTGTATTTTTAGTAGAGACGGAGTTTCGCACATGTTGGGCAGACTGGTCTTGAGCTCCTGACCTCGTGAATCTGGCCCGCTTGGCTCCCAAAAGTGCCTCAGATTACAGGCGGAAGCCACCCGCCCCAGCCCAAATTTTTAAAATTTTGTAGAGATGGGGGGTCTCCCTATGTTTGTCTCAGGCTGGTCCTCAACTCCTGCAAGTGTGGTGGTTCATGCCTTTGTAATACCTAGCACTTTGGAAAACCAGAGGCAGGAGAACTGCTTGAGGCCAGAGATTTGACACCAAACCTGGACAACATAGCAAGACCTCCAGTCTCAACAAAAAAAATATAGAATTAAAAAAAAAAAAAGACCAATGAAACTAAGGCAGAAAGAAGGTTAAAGTGGGTGCCTGAGTTGGTTAAGCCCAATTCACATCCCTGGAGGAAGTGCAGGGATCAGTAAACATCTGAAAGACATGTTTCAACTGCCCTTAGAGGTCAAGGAGCCTGAAATGTACACCAAACACACTAAAGGACACTATTTTTCCTTCATCCAGCGGGGCTTAAATCTGCAAAGGCCTTGGTGGTGGGGACTGCATCCCACACATGCCCTATGGTGGAAAAGCATGAATGTGCTCCCCAAACTTTTGGAAAGCAAATTTGCTAGAATATACTTATTGGTTATTATTATGCCTCTGCTCCAACCCAGGCTGGGAAGGTGCAGTGGGCCCCAGCAGTCTCAGCCTCACTGCACAGCTCTCCGCCATCCTGGGTTACACCATTCTCTTTGCCTCAGCCCTCCCGGAGTACCTGGGGCTACAAGGCACCTCCACCTCGCCGGCTAGTTTTTTTGTATTTTTTTAGTAGAGATGGGTTTTCACTTGTGTTAGCAGGATGGTCTCGATCCTCTGACCCTCGTGATGCCCGCCCGTCGGCCTCCCAAAGTGCTGGAATTTACAGGCTTGAGCCCACCCTGCGCCCAGGACAGATTTACTTAATTAAAATCCTTATTCACATACACCCTGACCCTACTCCTCCAGAAACACAACTCTGGAAATATAAGTTATATGTACCAAAGGTGCGTGTGGCACTGCAGCATCCTCTATGAGAGGCGAAAAAACTAGAAACTTTCCTGGAACTATTCCCAAGGGAAGACGGTGGGCTACAGTTTACAGACATTACAGTAGGGAATTCTGCAAGCCATCACATAAGGTTAAGATCCTAGAAGACTCGCGATCCTGGAGATATCTACCCAAATATATAGTATTTTTTGGGTGGATCCTTGCTCTGTCACCCAGGCCTTGGAGTGCAATGGATGTATCATTGGCTCGACTGCCAACCCTCTGCCTCCCCGGTGGGCAAGTGGATTCTCCTGCCCCAGACTCCCGCGTAGCTGGAACTTACAGGTTTGCCCACCACCGCTCCCGGCT